ACTCCCATTGCAGAATGCACCGTCGCTATTATATGKACCAAAAGTACAATATCTCACGAGCATGTCTCCGAAGCCAGGTCCGTAGCGGAAGAGGAAATCTTCGGGGTCAAAGAAACGGGATGATGTGTTCAGTTCTTGACGTAATTTCCTATGCATGCTCACGTGACATTGAGGTACAAAAAATGTCGCGTATCTGCTATATGCACATGATAGTGCTTGACCRCACGTAAGGTTACCGCTGACATTTCTCACGACTTCGCAGGCAGGCATATTAAGATTGAGCTGCTCAAATCGCGGATCGTCGTATGCGATGTTGATTTTGGACCTGACGAGGGAGTTCAGATTGCATATTGTAAAGTCGGGAAATTCGATTCCTTTATCAGGAACTTCGTAAGATACCACAGTACTTATTGGTTGACTTGTGAATTTTGTTACACAAACGTAAACAATGTACATATAGCCCGAAATACCCGCAAGCAAGCAAASGGCCCARAACAAACGTCGAAGACCCGAAGTTGCTACSACGAAACGAAGGCCATGAAGGGTTGTATTGGATGCGAAAGTTGGCCAGTTCTCTCTCATGGCTTTTGGGTTTGTSGAACACCTGTTATGAGTAAAATCTAGGAATTATAACTTTTTTAGCTTTTAGGATCGATGCCGTTTTTGGTTTTCTTTCACAYCAGGCAAACTAGATATAAAAGAGATTCGAAAAATGGCTTCCAGTATGTCCACGAATAAAGTCCTTACCTTTCCACTTGTATATAAACTAGTCAGTAATTGTCAAATTCACTCTCTCTTGAACTGAATACTTTACAAGATGCCAGCTCAAATTTGACAAATTTTAAACTCTTATTGGTTGGGTTTCAATTGCGAAATTGAAGATATAGAGAATCTCAAAAATAAAAGCTCGCTTCGCCAAATTAAAGAAGTTATASTCGTATCAGAGCTGGTTCATTAAATAACCACCTGCAAATGTTTCAAGCTTTTAACCCCCTTTCCTTCATTAGTTACCAAAAAAGAATATTTATGAAGCACACGACTTGTTACGTGTAAATGAAAAAAAGTACAAA